CAGGAGAGAACACAACCAGGAGAGAACAAAACCAGGAGAGAACAAAACCAGGAGAGAACAAAACCAGGAGAGAACAAAACCAGGGGAGAACACAACCAGGAGAGAACACAACCAGGAGAGAACAGAACCAGGAGAGAACAAAACCAGGAGAGAACAAAACCAGGGGAGAACACAACCAGGAGAGAGAACAAAAGCAGGAGAGAACAGAACCAGGAGAGAACAAAACCAGGAGAGAACAAAACCAGGAGAGAACACAACCAGGAGAGAACAAAACCAGGAGAGAACAAAAGCAGGAGAGAGAACAAAAGCAGGAGAGAACAGAACCAGGAGAGAGAACAAAACCAGGAGAGAACAAAACCAGGAGAGAACACAACCAGGAGAGAACAAAACCAGGAGAGAACAGAACCAGGGGAGAACACAACCAGGAGAGAACAAAACCAGGAGAGAACACAACCAGGAGAGAGAACAAAACCAGGAGAGAACAGAACCAGGAGAGAACAAAACCAGGAGAGAACAAAACCAGGGGATAACACAACCAGGAGAGAGAACAAAAGCAGGAGAGAACAGAACCAGGAGAGAACAAAACCAGGAGAGAACAAAACCAGGAGAGAACACAACCAGGAGAGAACAAAACCAGGAGAGAACACAACCAGGAGAGAGAACAAAAGCAGGAGAGAACAGAACCAGGAGAGAGAACAAAACCAGGAGAGAACACAACCAGGAGAGAGAACAAAACCAGGAGAGAACAGAACCAGGAGAGAGAACAAAACCAGGAGAGAACAAAACCAGGAGAGAACACAACCAGGAGAGAACACAACCAGGAGAGAGAACAAAAGCAGGAGAGAACAGAACCAGGAGAGAGAACAAAACCAGGAGAGAACAAAACCAGGAGAGAACAAAACCAGGAGAGAACAAAACCAGGAGAGAGAACAAAACCAGGAGAGAACACAACCAGGAGAGAGAACAAAACCAGGAGAGAACACAACCAGGAGAGAACACAACCAGGAGAGAACAAAACCAGGAGAGAACAGAACCAGGAGAGAACAAAACCAGGAGAGAACAAAACCAGGAGAGAACAAAACCAGGAGAGAACACAACCAGGAGAGAACACAACCAGGAGAGAGAACAAAAGCAGGAGAGAACAGAACCAGGAGAGAGAACAAAACCAGGAGAGAACAAAACCAGGAGAGAACAAAACCAGGAGAGAACAAAACCAGGAGAGAGAACAAAACCAGGAGAGAACACAACCAGGAGAGAGAACAAAACCAGGAGAGAACAGAACCAGGAGAGAGAACAAAACCAGGAGAGAACAGAACCAGGAGAGAGAACAAAACCAGGAGAGAACACAACCAGGAGAGAGAACAAAACCAGGAGAGAACAAAACCAGGAGAGAACAAAACCAGGAGAGAGAACAAAACCAGGAGAGAACACAACCAGGAGAGAGAACAAAAGCAGGAGAGAACAGAACCAGGAGAGAGAACAAAACCAGGAGAGAACAAAACCAGGAGAGAACAGAACCAGGAGAGAACAAAACCAGGAGAGAACAAAACCAGGAGAGAACACAACCAGGAGAGAACAGAACCAGGAGAGAGAACAAAAGCAGGAGAGAACAAAACCAGGAGAGAACACAACCAGGAGAGAGAACAAAAGCAGGAGAGAACAGAACCAGGAGAGAACAAAACCAGGAGAGAACAAAACCAGGAGAGAACACAACCAGGAGAGAACACAACCAGGAGAGAGAACAGAACCAGGAGAGAACAGAACCAGGAGAGAGAACAAAAGCAGGAGAGAACAGAACCAGGAGAGAACAAAACCAGGAGAGAACAAAACCAGGAGAGAACACAACCAGGAGAGAGAACAAAACCAGGAGAGAACAAAAGCAGGAGAGAACACAACCAGGAGAGAACAAAACCAGGAGAGAACACAACCAGGAGAGAACACAACCAGGAGAGAGAACAAAACCAGGAGAGAACAGAACCAGGAGAGAGAACAAAACCAGGAGAGAACAAAACCAGGAGAGAACACAACCAGGAGAGAACACAACCAGGAGAGAGAACAAAACCAGGAGAGAACACAACCAGGAGAGAACAAAACCAGGAGAGAACACAACCAGGAGAGAACAAAACCAGGAGAGAACACAACCAGGAGAGAACACAACCAGGAGAGAGAACAAAAGCAGGAGAGAACAGAACCAGGAGAGAACACAACCAGGAGAGAACAAAACCAGGAGAGAACACAACCAGGAGAGAACACAACCAGGAGAGAGAACAAAAGCAGGAGAGAACAGAACCAGGAGAGAACACAACCAGGAGAGAACACAACCAGGAGAGAACAGAACCAGGAGAGAACACAACCAGGAGAGAACACAACCAGGAGAGAGAACAAAACCAGGAGAGAACAGAACCAGGAGAGAACAAAACCAGGAGAGAACACAACCAGGAGAGAGAACAAAAGCAGGAGAGAACAGAACCAGGAGAGAGAACTAAACCAGGAGAGAACAGAACCAGGAGAGAGAACAAAACCAGGAGAGAACACAACCAGGAGAGAGAACAAAACCAGGAGAGAACACAACCAGGAGAGAGAACAAAACCAGGAGAGAACAGAACCAGGAGAGAGAACAAAACCAGGAGAGAACAAAACCAGGAGAGAACAGAACCAGGAGAGAGAACAAAACCAGGAGAGAACAGAACCAGGAGAGAGAACAAAACCAGGAGAGAACACAACCAGGAGAGAGAACAAAACCAGGAGAGAACACAACCAGGAGAGAGAAAAAAACCAGGAGAGAACAGAACCAGGAGAGAGAACAAAACCAGGAGAGAACAAAACCAGGAGAGAACAAAACCAGGAGAGAACAAAACCAGGAGAGAGAACAAAACCAGGAGAGAACACAACCAGGAGAGAAGAGAACAAAACCAGGAGAGAACAAAACCAGGAGAGAACACAACCAGGAGAGAGAACAAAAGCAGGAGAGAACACAACCAGGAGAGAACAAAACCAGGAGAGAACAGAACCAGGAGAGAACACAACCAGGAGAGAACAAAACCAGGAGAGAACAAACCAGGAGAGAGAACAAAACCAGGAGAGAACAGAACCAGGAGAGAAAAACCAGGAGAGAACAAAACCAGGAGAACAAACAGAGAGAACAGAACCAGGAGAGAGAACAAAACCAGGAGAGAACACAACCAGGAGAGAACAAAACCAGGAGAACAGAACCAGGAGAGAGAACAAAAGCAGGAGAGAACAGAACCAGGAGAGAACAAAACCAGGAGAGAACAAAACCAGGAGAGAACACAACCAGGAGAGAGAACAAAAGCAGGAGAGAACAGAACCAGGAGAGAACAAAACCAGGAGAGAGAACAAAACCAGGAGAGAACAGAACCAGGAGAGAGAACAAAACCAGGAGAGAACAGAACCAGGAGAGAGAACAAAACCAGGAGAGAACACAACCAGGAGAGAGAACAAAACCAGGAGAGAACAGAACCAGGAGAGAGAACAAAAGCAGGAGAGAACAGAACCAGGAGAGAACAAAACCAGGAGAGAACAAAACCAGGAGAGAACAAAACCAGGAGAGAACACAACCAGGAGAGAACAAAACCAGGAGAGAACACAACCAGGAGAGAACACAACCAGGAGAGAACAAAACCAGGAGAGAACACAACCAGGAGAGAGAACAAAACCAGGAGAGAACAGAACCAGGAGAGAGAACAAAAGCAGGAGAGAACAGAACCAGGAGAGAACAAAACCAGGAGAGAACAAAACCAGGAGAGAACACAACCAGGAGAGAGAACAAAAGCAGGAGAGAACAGAACCAGGAGAGAACAAAACCAGGAGAGAACAAAACCAGGAGAGAACACAACCAGGAGAGAACACAACCAGGAGAGAGAACAAAAGCAGGAGAGAACAGAACCAGGAGAGAGAACAAAACCAGGAGAGAACACAACCAGGAGAGAACACAACCAGGAGAGAGAACAAAACCAGGAGAGAACAGAACCAGGAGAGAACAAAACCAGGAGAGAACACAACCAGGAGAGAGAACAAAACCAGGAGAGAACAAAACCAGGAGAGAACACAACCAGGAGAGAGAACAAAAGCAGGAGAGAACAGAACCAGGAGAGAGAACTAAACCAGGAGAGAACAAAACCAGGAGAGAACAAAACCAGGAGAGAACACAACCAGGAGAGAAAACAAGAAGCTAACGCTAACACACCGCAGAAAACACAGGATAATAAGGCGAAGGAGTGTAATCAGAGCAATATTGAGGACGTCTTAAAGATGTTAGCATTGTTAGCATAGTTAGCACACTTAACTCGGCTATTACAGTTAGCATGGTTAAAACCACAGGCATGCACGATTAGCACAGAAGGGCAGTTAGCACTGCTAGCACGGAAGCACAGCTAGCTTGAAGCAAAAATACATTTAAATTAACTGCTATATCTTGATATCCAATATCAACTGTATCTCAGTATTTGTTCAACTGTGGTACACCTAAACATGTGTAACTACAATTGTTTTGCTTCAGCACTGGTTTGTTTGAATTTATATTTGTAAACTATTTGTTTGTAATTTAGAGTTAATTAGTTTATATTTAGTAAACGTAGTCTTTTGAACAGGAGTGAGTACAGAGACAAATATTGTAGGAACTGTTGTCATTCTCAGATGTAGTAGGGGGACCGCATTGACCGTGACCCTCAGACACTGAGTCATTCCTTCTCTGAGACCTTTCTTATATTTTTACAGGTTTGTATTTGACCAGAAGCGCCACAGTTAAAGCCTCCACACCTGAGAGTCTCTGTGGAAGTCATTACAGAACATTTATATTAATTGTGTATCTTTTGAGAGCGGTTTTGTTTGTGTAACTGCCGAACGAGCTAACGGTGCTAATGCTAGCGGCAGAGTCCCGTGTTTTCGCGGCATTCTTCAGCTAGCATTAGCCATGTTAAGAACAAATACCATCAGAGCGGTCACATGGTGTTCCGTTTTACCTCTGCCTCCTCATGTGGATGAATACGTTTAGGACCCAGTCAGTTTCAGTTTTAGCGTAGTGTTGTGAAGATACACACAGTTTACGTCAAGAGTCAGTTAATGCTAAGGATAATTTGTGTCCAATATGCAAAAGTATTCAGTAGTATTAATTTGAAGAAAGAGTTTCAAATGTAATATTGTGTAAAATGTGAAATGTTGAGTCCTTCTCTGAGACTTTTCTTGTTGTTCTACAGACTGTATTTTTGTCCATGTGGTCACAACAACAGTTTGGGATCCGTAACACTGGTCTCTTGTCTCCTTATAGTCTCTCTCTGATCTCTCTCTAATCTCTCACTCTAGTCTCGCTCTAGTCCTGCTTGGGTCTGTCTCTGGTCTCTCTCTGGTCTCGCTCTGGTTTCTGGTCTCTCTCTGGTCTCCGGTCTCGCTCTGGTCTCTGGTCTCGCTCTGGTCTCCGGTCTCGCTCTGGTCTTGCTCTGTTCTCTGGTCTCGTTCTGGTCTCTGGTCTCGTTCTGGTCTCGTTCTAGTCTCGCTCTGATCTCTGGTCTCGCTCTGGTCTTGCTCTGGTCTCTGGACTTGCTCTGGTCTCTGGTCTCGCTCTGATCTCTGGTCTCGCTCTGGTCTCTTGTCTCGCTCTGGTCTCTGGACTCACTCTGGTCTTGCTCTGGTCTCTGGACTTGCTCTGGTCTCTGGTCTCGCTCTGGTCTCTGGTCTCGTTCTGGTCTCTGCTCTCGCTCTGGTCTCGTTCTTGTCTCTGGACTCGCTCTGGTCTCGTTCTGGACTCGCTCTGGTCTCTGGTCTCGCTCTGGTCTCGTTCTGGTCCCTTGTCGCGGAACGCCGCTTCTGGCGCGTTAACCGGCTCCGGTTCTGGTTCTCGGCCGGCTTGGGTGCCCTCCCTATCTCCTGGTGCTGTTCGCTTAGGCTCCAGGTTGTGTTCTCTCGCCTGGTTGTGTGCTCCCCTGGGTTGGGTTCTCCCGCTCAGCCTGGTTGTTCCTCCTGTTTGTTCTCCGTGGTGTTGGTGTCTGGTGGGTGGTTCTCTCCTGGTGTGGTTCTCGCCCTGGTTGGGTTTCTCTCCTGGGTTGTGTGCTCTCCTGGTTGGGTGTTTGTGCTCTCTCCTGGGGTTCCTGGTTCTCTCTCCTGGTTGTGGTTCTCGCCGGTGTCTCTCGCCTGGTTCTGGTCTCTCCTGGGTTGGGTGCGCTCTCCTGGTTCTTGTTCTCGCCGGGTGTTGTGCTCGTCTCCTGGTTGGGTGTCTCTCCCTGGTGCCTCGGGGTTTGTTCTCGCTCCTGGGTGTGTGCGCTCCTGGGTTTGGGTCTCTCCGGGTCTGTGTTCTCGTCCTGGGTCGGTTCTCGCTCCTGTGCGGGTTGTTCGTGCGCGCCGGGTGCGGTTCGCCTGGTGTGTTGTTCGCGAGGGCGTCCGGTTGGTCGGTGTCTGTCTCGTCCGTTGTGTTGTCCTCTCTCCTGGGTCTGTCTCCAGCCTGGGTTTGTGTGCTCCGCCGGGTGTGTTCGCGCCTGGGCTTTGTTCTCTCCTGGGGTGTGTCTGGCTGCTCCTGGGTGGGCTCGCTGCCTGGTGGTGTTCTCGGTCCTGGGTTTTTTGGGTGTCTCTCCTGGGGTGGGTGCTCTCCTGGTTTGTCGGCGCCTCTGGCGGTGTGCGTCCGAACTGCCTGGTTGTGTGCTCCCTGCTGGTTGTTCTCGTCTCCTGGTTGGTTCTCGGCCGGGTATGAGTGTGGCGCCTCCGTGGTTGTTGTGTCTCCTCCTGGTGTTGGTGGCTCGCTCCGGTGTGTGTTCTCTCTCCTGGTTGGTGTTCTCTCGACCGGGTTTTGTGTCTCAAGCCGGGGTGTGGTTCTCTCCGGGTTGTTTGTTCCACCTGTGGTGTACGCTCGCCGGGTCTGTTCGCGTCTGGTTTTGTTCTCTCTCCTGGTTGGTGGTCGCGCCGGGTTTGGGGCTCTCTCCGGGTGTGTTGCTCTCCGGTGTTTGGCCGCTCATGGGTCTGGGTCGCTCCGGGGGTGTGTGTTCCGCTCGTCCTGTGCTGTTCGCTATCCTGGGGTTGGTGTGCTCCACGGTTTTGTTCGTCTCTCCGGGTCTTTCGCGCCGTGGGTGGTTCTCTCGCCGGGTTGTGATCCGCTGCCGGGGTGTGTGTCTCTGCTCCTGGTTAGGGGGGGCTCTCCGGGGTGGGGTCTGCGTTCCCTGGGTCTGTTCCTCCGGGGTTAGGTGCGCCTCCCTGGGTCTTGCTCTCCGCGTTTGTTCCGCGCCGGGGGGTGGTGCTCTCCTGGTTTGTGGCCGTCTCCGGGGCTGTTCTCGCCTGGGGGTTGTTCGTCGCTCCGTGTGTGGTTCGTCGCCGGGTTGTGTGGCTCTCCTGGTGCTGTTCGCTCCTGTGGTGTGTCTCACTCCGGGTTGTGTGCGCTCCTGGTTCGGGTCGCCGCACTCCGGCGTTGGGGTGGCTCTCGCCTGGTGTGTTCTCTCCGGGGTGTGGGCGCTCTCCGGGGGTGGTGCTCCTCTAGGGGTGGTGTGACTCTGCCTGGTTGCTGTTCTCTTCCTGCTGTGTTGGGGCGCTCTCCGGTTGTTTCTCAGCCGGGTTGTGTCTGCCTGGTGTGTTCGCGCCTGGTGGTTCCGCGTCCTGGGTGGGTGGTTCTGCTCCGGGGGGTGTCCGCTCCGGGTTGTGTTCGCTCTCGCTGGGTGTGTGGTCTGCGCCGGGTTGTGGTGT